TTAATTAGTTAAACATTAAAACCTACTAATTAAAAACACCCATTAATAAATATACAAAATTAACTAAAAAAATAATTAGTTTTTTTTTTAATATAATTAAATTACTTCAAAAAAAATTAAAAAAAAAAAAAAATTGGGTCATAAAGATGAAAAGACAAAAAATTATATAATAATCATAGTGGTTAATTAAAAAAAATTGAAGAAATTATTATAAGTAATGTACTTCTTAATCATGATTAGGAAATTGTTGACGAGGTAAGAAACTACAAAGAAGGTGAATGAGTCTTCTGTCGTTTACCTAATCAATATACACAATGATTTCTTAGCGAGTCTCCTGGCTTTACTGGGTCCTCCACAATGGGCCTATTATATATATATATATATATATATAGTCTCGTTAAAGTTCGTACCTACCACCCGAAAATGCATCATCGTCAAGACATATATGTATGATTCCAATATATTTGAACAGATTATTAATAAATTGTTCATAAAATTTTTTTTGGGTGAATTGCAGGTTTTTGAATGCTGGGATATTTGGGAATGGGACAGAATCATGCCATACACTGTCGAAATCAGCAACAAGAGCAGCAATGCTGGTGAGGATCAACACTCTGTTGCAGGGCTATTCAGGAATCAGATTTGAGATCTTGGAATCCATAACCAAATTTCTCAACCACAGTATCACTCCCTGTTTACCTCTCAGAGGCACCATCACTGCCTCCGGTGACCTTGTTCCCCTCTCCTACATCGCCGGACTTTTGACTGGCCGACCAAACTCCAAAGCCGTTGGTCCTAATGGAGAAGCTCTTAACCCATCAGAAGCTTTTCACCTTGCTGGAATCGATGGTGGGTTCTTCGAGTTGCAGCCTAAGGAAGGACTGGCTCTTGTCAATGGCACTGCTGTTGGATCTGGGTTGGCTTCAATCGTGCTTTTTGATGCTAACATTCTGGCGATTCTCTCAGAAGTTTTATCAGCCATTTTTGCAGAAGTCATGCAAGGGAAACCTGAGTTTACAGACCATCTTACTCATAAACTCAAACACCATCCTGGTCAGATTGAAGCTGCTGCTATAATGGAGCATATTTTGGATGGAAGCTCTTTTGTCAAAGCAGCTCAGAAGCTACACGAATTGGATCCTTTACAGAAGCCTAAACAAGACAGGTATGCTCTGAGAACCTCCCCACAATGGCTTGGCCCTCAGATTGAAGTCATTAGAACAGCAACCAAGATGATTGAAAGAGAGATCAATTCTGTCAATGACAACCCTTTGATTGATGTCTCAAGAAACAAAGCTTTACATGGAGGAAATTTCCAAGGAACCCCAATTGGAGTTTCCATGGATAACACCCGGTTGGCCATCGCTTCAATTGGAAAACTCATGTTTGCTCAGTTCTCCGAGCTGGTAAATGATTTTTACAACAATGGGTTGCCATCAAATCTTTCTGCAAGTCGTAATCCCAGTTTGGATTATGGATTCAAAGGTGCAGAAATTGCCATGGCTTCTTACTGCTCAGAACTGCAATATCTTGCAAACCCTGTCACTACCCATGTACAGAGTGCTGAGCAACATAATCAAGATGTGAACTCTCTGGGACTAATCTCCTCCAGGAAGACAGCCGAAGCTGTTGATATATTAAAACTCATGTCTACAACGTTCTTAGTTGCTCTCTGCCAAGCCATTGATTTAAGGCACTTGGAGGAGAACTTGAAGAACACAGTGAAGAATTCAGTGAGCCAAGTGATTAGAAAAGTCTTATTCATGGGGGACAATGGCGAGCTTCACCCATCAAGGTTCTGTGAAAAAGACTTGCTCAAAGTGGTGGACAGGGAGTACCTATTTGCATATGCTGATGATCCATGCAGCGCCACCTACCCATTAATGCAAAAGCTCCGACAAGTCCTGGTCGATCATGCGCTGATCAACGCCGACAGAGACAAGAACTCCGGCAGCTCAATCTTCCACAAGATCGGAGCTTTTGAGGAGGAGCTCAAGACCCTTTTACCTAAAGAAGTGGAAGGTACCAGGCTAGAAGTGGAGGCTGGAAATGCAGCAATTCCAAACAGGATTAAGGAATGCAGGTCATACCCGCTTTACAAGTTTGTGAGGGAGGAGCTGGGAACTGGTTTGCTCACCGGCGAGAAGGTCCGGTCCCCGGGAGAAGAGTTTGACAAGGTTTTCTCGGCGATGTGTGCAGGGAAGATGATCGATCCATTGCTGGATTGTCTCAAGGAGTGGAATGGGGCACCTCTTCCCATCTCCTAAGAAACTTATTGCTTACAAATATTATATATATATATATATAGCTTTGCTGTATTTACTATACAGATCTTTGCACCTGGAAAGAGACTCATGAAGCAAACTGTATGTCGTCTTTGTTTTTAAGTTGAACTTTTCCTTTTCCATTTTGTTATTTTTTTTCTTTAAATATTTCTTTTGTATTATGAACTCAAGAGTACAACTTGTACTCCAGTTATAATGTAGATATGTGTTTCCAAAAATTTTCTTTTAGTTTAAAAAAAAAATATATATATATATATACATGTAATGCATATATATTAATATATTAATTATAATATAATATAAATAACCTCCCAATAAAAATACACCAAAACATAATCCAACTTATAATACATAATCTAATTATGTATAATCTCATCTTGTAGTTTTACTAGCTAGGTTTTTAATATATCATATATTTTATACAAAATAACAATATATATATATAATGAAATATATATATATATTTTTCCTAAAAAAATGAAAGTTGTATAATTAATTAAAAAATTCGTTAAAATTATAAATCTAATTAACAAAAATATTTTAAAAAATACAAAAAAAAAAAGGTTTGAAATAAACTTCACAAACTAGACCAAAATAACAACTTACCGTACCAACCATTGCCTGTATATACTCTTACCATCTAAACCACAGAGCTTTCCTTCCTCTAAAGCCCTCACAGACTCCCCTCAAATGGCGAACGAGGAGATCCTGTTGGGAATCAGGAGCCCACTTGTCGACACCATGGCCATTGTCGACCATGAATTCCTGAAAAAGCGAATCCCTTCTTGGCTAAACTGTTTCTTTCCCTATCTTCTGTTTAGCTTCGTGACAGATCTCTAGCTTTCCGGACTGTAAATGGGTACTTGTTTCTCACTGTTTGGTTGCCAGGAAACTTTGTGAATAACAATTTGGCTTTTATTGGGTGGAGATGACAGTAGACTCGTGTTTTATTTACCCGAACGTCTGATACTTGAAAACTCCATGGACGTAAAAGATTTGGGTTCCTCCATTTTCTGATGCACTTTCTGATCAGCAAGTAAATTGCTTCTTGGGTTTGAATTTTGATCATCTTAAAAAGTTCTATTTGGACGGAAATTTGTGTGGTTTTCTACTTAAAAAGTTCTATATGAAATCATAAGATTATAACTAATTTTCTACGCTTAAAATTACTGTTCTATGATGAATTTAACTTCGATAGGCTTCTCTAGGTTCGGACAATTGGCTACAAGAACAATGCGAAGTACTCTGAGGGAGATAAAGTTAAGAACATGTTTAGAACAAATGAGTTATTTTTATGAAATTCATCTAAAACTAAATGCTTAGTTTTGTTATGATATAATTCAATTCCAAGAAAATTAAAGTTCTGAGTGAAATGAATTCACGACAGAATCAAAATAATATATTTAAAATTCTAGTAATCGTTTAAACTTCAAATTTTATCTTCTCGTAGTTGGACTAAGTATACGTTTTCGAATAAATTCTTAAAAAAAAAAATAGTTAATCTATTTTAAACATAAGATCAAACCTTTTAAATAAAAAAAAATGTGGTAATCGGTCAAAGTTTAATTGAAATGGGGAACCAAAGCTGATATACAATGATTTCTTCATATAGATATTTAAATATATATATCATAAAAATAATCTTATAATGAGCTCATATAATTAGCTATATTTTCATAGTTATGTAATTTTTTTTATAAATTCTTGACTTATATTATAATATAAATAATTGATTAAATTATTTTTTTATCAATTTATATTCTAATAATATTATAATCATAAATCTCTACACAACGTTTGATGAATCTATACTTGATTTATGTTATTAACTCGATAGATCTTTATGTGAGTTAATGTATTAGAATATTACTAATTTGAATTTTTCAGATGATCAATTCGATATATTATATAATATCATATATGCTTAAACTAATTCAAAACTTGAAGCAATAAAGTAATTACATTCTCTTATGGATAATGTACAATGAAAAGTTCATAAACTTACCCTTTTCAACAACCATGAAATCATAAAAAACACAGTGAAAATTTTCGAAGTTGAGAGTTGGCACAACGAAGAATACTCAAGAAATTGCTTGTGTCGCAAGGAATCCAAAGTTTCGAACCAATGGCGAATTCGTACACATCTTCAGCCTGATCAAGAAGAACTTTAAAGAGAGGATGGTGCAATATAGTAACCTTGATTATAAACCTTTCCCTGTCATCACCTACATATACAGCTAGATGACCTTTCGGCACATCTTTAGGGATACTCTTCTCTCGATGCAAACTAGAAATCATCTTTAGGGTTTCTGCGTATAATTTTCTGCACCTCTGCAAACATATCTTGAGATAATTACTACTACTCTTAATCCTCATCTTCATCTGTGGTGTGTTTTTGAACTTGAGAGAGAGAGAGAGAGAGAGAGAGGGGGATGGAGGTTGAGGGAGAGGGTGTGGAGGTGTCAAAGGGCAGACAAGGTTTATATAGTTGTGTCTGTATATATATGTGAGTGTTTGATACATGTATAGATTCATGCATGCAAGTGGATATATGTCTCATCTCTTTCCTTGCAATAAATTACTAGCTCTAGCTGTTTCTTCTTTTTTTTTTTTTTTTTTTTTTTTTTTTCTGGTTTAATATCCTTTTTTCTTAAG